CATATAGTCTCATCCCACATATGACCCTTCACGATTTGGCGATCCTGATGCTAATGTTGTCAAAGAAGCATAATTCATCCCACATGCTGTATCAAAATTCAAAAAAAATATTCAAAAAAAAAAACTCAAAAAACATTTTATAGAAAAAAATTTAAATTGATCTGCCCATCATCTGAGCATACTGCAGAAGACTTAGCACATATATAGTGTAGGGGGTCGACAATTGAAATTATCAACTGTACGCCCAGGTTTGCACTAAGAAGTACATAGCGGTATGCAATTCATATTAGTAGATTTATAACCGAGCCTTGTTTAAGGTTACCAGGTATATATGAATATCATTATATTGGCTATCAATACTCTTAATATAAGGTTTATTCGCAGGTTTCTGGGTCATTTTTGTATTTGAAATGCTAGTAAAATTTATCATGGAAAGACATGATTTTACCTAGTAACCCAGGTTGAAATCAAGCAAGTTGAGAAATTCATTGTCGCATGAGTTGCCAAGTTTTGGACTTTAGGCGTCTTACGATAAACCAACTTGAGCAAACTAAACCTGTTATACTGACTACCAGGATTTGTAGTCATCGAAATGTTCAAAACTTGGTCCATTCTCCGTAAAGTTTGGAGGTTGTCATACTTGCCATTATAGATCGACGTCATCTAGTAAGCAGCTGTAAAATTTAGGTATATTTTTCTATGGAGATTTCTCAATAGTTAATTGCGCTACGCCCCATAGGTAATAATCAATTTCCCATAGATTATCTAATTAAGATTGAACCTTAAACTCCAAGTTTGTTTCGATTATTTGCTTACTTAATCCAAGTCAAACAATCTACGTTCTACCTCCCTAGCTATGCATGCCAGAGATGACGGCTAACTTTCTTCCTAAACTTTGTCAAACTTTCTATATAGTTATATTATTATATGACCTTTACTTATACGCAAGCTCTACCCTAGATTCCTAGACTACTCTACACCTTAGATAAACGAGAGAAGAAAAAAAGACAAAAAAAAAGGTATTCCAGATTTATTTGGTGCTAGCTAGAGGACATAATCCCACCACCTCACAAACGTGGGATTATGCCCGCATATATACTAGTATTTAACAATATAACCCACAAGATTTATTTCCCTTTTTATTATCAATTTACTATCAAGAACAAATTAGCAAATTCTCTGTCCATGTTTTATTTGATGTAGATGTGCAGTCTGTTTATCTCTCTTGCTCGTTTCCTAGCCAATAACCCTAGAAAAATACTAGTGATCATAGTGAGAAGCAATATCTAATAATTGGTCAAAATTTCCATGTTTTTCTGGTTACCCAAGAGATGAATTTGTCTCAAAAAGTATTAATATTAATTTCAAAGGAACAATAAAATTACATTTAGTGATTGATTTGGTGATAGTACACACGCAACCTGTTATCTTTGACTAAATCTCAGCATACACAATACACACAAAAGATTTACAAAAGCAACTTAAAACTGAATAACTTTATTATTCAGAAACAAAAAACTCATGTCCTAAATTACCCCTACTCCTTTATTCTATTTACCACTTCAGCCGCCATTTTTTTTCTCTTGACACGTAAGCTTCTAATATGCGTTTTATTTACGCTAATTACACTTGGTAGGGGTAATTACGGAACTTAGCGTTAACAATAAATAAGTAAATGAATATAAATTATTCGAGAAATTACCTTGCTTAAGGTGCATTTTTCTTTTGCATCTTTCTCCAAACATAATAGGATATCATGTAAAACAGCACCAAAAATGGCAAACAAACACTGGCAATAATTAGGGAAAATACATAAAAATTGTCCTCGTGATTACAATAGAAGCAAGTCAATAATCATCTTTCCAGTCAAAAGAAGCCACACAAGACCCTCGGGCAATGGCTCCTTCCCACCGCTTGCAGTAGAAAATATAAACGTTGCGTCATTTATTTAAATATTTTGGCCAGGCTCAGACATTCTAGAAGGAAGCACACCAAAAGTCTACTGATGTTGTATCAAATTTTCATTCTTTTGGCGATATTTTTTTAAAAAAAGTGCACTTGTCTTCAATACATAGCATAAATTACAATCAAACTCACGTCATCAGGATCAAGTAATGATGTTTCTCACAATAATCCAGTCATTCCTCTCATTCCACCTATAACCTATCAAAATTCAAAGATTTGAGATCAATTAACGTTATCCGCACACTATCGGCTATGTGACAGTAATAGGTGTGTTGCCCACATAGCCACATGGGAAACATAAAATTGACATATCCATAATTTGTTGAGATGAGCACCATATCCACAGTGATGTTGCCAAGTTGAACTTTTCCATGTTTTGATTTTAGCTTCTTTCAATCGCTCTTGCAATGTATAGTAAAATAAACAGGGTAAGTCTCAACAAATCAAGCAATTATAAGCACAAGAGAACATAAGTCTGAATGTTATATTATTATTACAATGCATAGAGAGAGAGTGTAAACTGCATCTTTGGCTTAATTATGGGTTTGAAAATAACATGTTTGATGGTTAATGTTTCAGGTATTAGTTTATGTGTCATCTTTAATGTATGCTTTGAATAATTATTCTACATTCAGTATCATCTGAAAACTAATATTTTGCAAATAATTTCTAAACGTGTGTTGATCTATTAAATTGCTTATTAAAATCAAGCAATATCTTATTTGTAAATCTTTTGTGTGTTTTGTATTTGCTAAGATTTAGTCATAGAGAACTTGTTGCGCGTGTATAAATTTTGTTGGATAATTTTTTATTAATAATAGGAATATAGATGTTTGAAAATCCTTCACTTGCATCTTTCGCTGTTATCCTATTACCACTACCAATTTTAAATAGCTAATAAATATCTCTGTATACTTTTTCTGATATCTGAATTTAATGTTTAACGAGATGAACGAAGTGCTAATTGAGCTGAAGAAAAAAAGTAAGCAAGCAAGAGTAAACAAAATGTATGCCACTCAGACAGATATTATAGAAAATCCTCGAGTAATTGAAGATGCAGTCAAATGACCTCATAATTCCACTTACCTTCTTGTTCACAACAACAAGTTCCTCCTTTATTTTTCCTTCAAACAAACATATATTTTTTAAGAGAGATCGCAACACATCAGTATGGTAGAAACATGCTCAAGAAATAAAATAAAATAAAATTTACGAAGATATCTCACCATCATTTGGCTCTAATTCTAGTGTTTTTTTGAAACTTTGTATCGCAGCATCCATATTATTCAATGCTATTTGTGCCTGGATAATTTACAAGGCTAAAAATTAGCCACCCAAAGCATGGGCAGTCACAATATAGCCAATATATATTTCTACTCAAAATAACGATGATAGGAGTAATATTCTTATTTATGATAATGAACAGACCAGAGAAAGAATTTTATTCCCTAAGCAATACCACTAATACCTAAGCAAAGTCAAAATCATAAACCTGGAAATATTGAGAAGGATGTGAATGCTACTCATGAACAGGGGAGTGATTCTCAGAAGGGCGATTCTAGTCTGATTGGAGTTGCTGTGCATGATAGCAGTGTGCAGGCTGAGCATGTGCACTTTTCTAATACTGGAGAACAAATATTTGGACATGTTAATAATTCGCATCTGCTTTCCAAGGAGATGATTGCTGAGAATGGGATAAGGACTGCAATTCAAGCCTCCAGTTCTGGACAGCAGGCTGTGCACAGGTCTGTGCATGTGGTGCATGTCAAGGAGAAAAGTCCAGAAGAAAATCTGAGTCCTGGTTACTCTACAAAAGGGAATACTCCATGGATTCAAGTTCAAAATGGTAAAAAGAATAAGGATATCATACATGGTAATTCCTTCTCTTATCTAAATACTTTGGATATTGATCCTTCTACATTAGATAGAGGGGGAGGGGGTGATCAATGATGAATCTATCATTTTGGAATATTAGAGGATTAAACAAATCCTCTAAACAACACATGGTTAAGCAATTCTTATCTCAGTACCATCTTTCTTATATAGCCTTGCTTGAAACAAAAATTAAAAGTGGTAGGATTCAGAGTGCAGTGCAGAGAATTGCTAGAAACTGGAATTGGATATCCAATGCCAGCAATCAAAGTAAAGCCAGAATTCTGATTATGTGGGATTCAAATGTGTTTGGAGTTCAAATCATCAATATATCGGATCAAAGTGTCACATGCAAAGTCAATTCCTTAGATGGCAGAATGGAATGTATTATTACATCAATCTATGCTTTTAACCAAATGGAGGCTAGGAAGGTGTTATGGGATGAATTGAAGTCTGCTCAACAGTCAATAAGGAATGAACCATGGCTTCTATGTGGGGATTTCAACACTGTCATCAATAGTGAGGAGAAGATTGGAGGATCAATAGTCTCTGAATCCGATACTAAAGATTTCAGATATTTCATTGAAGATTGCCATCTAAATCAACTTAAAACAAGAGGATGCTTTTATACTTGGAATAATAAGCAGGATCATGATTCTAGAGTGTGGTGTAAACTGGATAGGGCTTTGGTGAATGATACATGGCTTCTTAAGTACAATGCTAGTCAGGTTGAGTTCTTGCTCCCTAATTGTTCTGACCACTCACCTGCATTAGTAACAATTTTTGAGGATTGCTCAAAAGGAAAGAAACCATTCAGGTATTTCAAAATGTGGTCTAAACATGATTCCTTTATTCCTGTTGTGTCTGCTATTTGGCAGACAAAAGTAGAGGGGTTTAAAATGTATACAGTATGTAAGAGGCTTCAGCTGCTGAGAGAAGCTCTTAAGGAATTAAACAAGACGCATTATGCTAATATCAGTGAGCAGGTTCTGAGAGCTAGAAAGGCTCTTGAAGAAGCTCAGGGCAGGCTGCAAAATTCCCCTCTCAACCCAGAGTTCATTAAAAATGAAAGGGAATGCATTGCAAATTACAATAAACTTTTGGATTGTGAACTATCTTTTCTGCAGCAAAAAGCTAGAATTAATTGGAGTATTCAAGGGGATAGGTGCACTAACTTCTTCCACTCCAGGATCAAAGCTAATTGTCATCAGAATAAGGTGTTGACTCTATTCAATGCCTTAGGACAGAGAATTTCTGATCAAGAGGAAATAGCTAAGGAAATGGTGTTATACTATAAGGACTTATTGGGGTCAGATTCAGAAACTATCACTCCAGACACTCAAGTCATTCAGACAGGGCCATGTTTGACTGTTGCTCAAGCTGACATGCTTTCCAAGCCTGTTTCAAGAGAGGAAATAAAAAGTGCAATATTCTCAATGCATGAAAATAAAGCACCAGGACCTGATGGGTATGGAGTTGCCTTCTATAAGTCTTCCTGGTCTGTGATAGGACAGGAGGTGATTTTGGCTATTGACGATTTCTTCAAAAATGGAAAAATGCTGGGAATGGTAAACTCTACCTCTGTCACTCTTATTCCTAAGATAAAATGCCCAGTCTCTCCCTCTGATTATAGGCCTATTTCCTGCTGTAACTGCATCTATAAATTCATATCCAAAATCCTAGCTAACAGGATTAGACCAATCTTGGGGAGCATAGTGAATGAAGCTCAAAGTGCTTTTGTCAAAGGTAGACAAATTTCCAGTAACATCTCCTTGGCACATGAGCTTGCTAAAAGCTACAGTAGGAAGGGGACTTCACCAAGAGTTATGTTGAGTATTGATATTAGAAAGGCCTTTGATACAATTAACTGGAAATTTTTGAAGAAAATGCTTGAAGGTTTGGGTTTCCCTCGAGTGATGGTCAAATGGATTTTGGCTTGCATCTCTTCTCCTAGATTTTCTATTTCCCTAAATGGATCTCTTCATGGCTATTTTGAGGGTAAGAGGGGCTTAAGGCAGGGAGACCCCCTTTCTCCATATCTGTTCATCTTGGGGATGGAATACTTATCAAGGAAATTAGAGCTTTTAAAGGAAGATAAATTGTTCAGATATCACCCTATGTGTGGTAGAATACTTATCAAGGAAATTAGAGCTTTTAAAGGAAGATAAATTGTTCAGATATCACCCTATGTGTGGTAAGCTCAAAATATCCCACCTAATATTTGCTAAAGGAAGATAAATTGTTCAGATATCACCCTATGTGTGGTAAGCTCAAAATATCCCACCTAATATTTGCAGATGATCTGCTGCTTTTCGCCAAGGGAGACTTATATTCAGTCTAAAAACTTTATCATTGTGTGAAGGATTTCAGTGTTACTACTGGTCTGAAAGCTAATCTGAGCAAATGCTCAATTTACTTTGGAGGTGTGAATGAAAATACCAAAACAGCAATTACAAGAGCAAATGCTCAATTTACTTTGGAGGTGTGAATGAAAATACCAAAACAGCAATTACAAATATGCTGGGGTTTTCTGAAGGGACTCTTCTTTGGAGGTGTGAATGAAAATACCAAAACAGCAATTACAAATATGCTGGGGTTTTCTGAAGGGACTCTTTCATTCAAGTATTTGGGTGTTCCTCTCATCTGTAAGAGGTTAACATACATAGATTGTAAATCTATGGTCAGTTTCAAAAGTGGCTTAGACATAGTAATCTATCATACGCAGGAAGGCTTCAAGTGATCAAAAGTGAGATATTAGGTGTACAAAATTACTGGACAACCAATTTCGTTCTTCCTGTCAAAGTCACTCAGAAGATAGATGAGCTGTGCAGGAAATTCTTATGGGGGAAGTCTGATACTTCTTTCAGAATCCCATTGGTTTCATGGGATAAAGTTTGTTATCGGAAAAAACAAGGTGGATTGGGAGTTTTCTCTGCTTCTATTTGGAATCTGTCTTCAGCATTAAGGAGCCTATGGTATATACATGTTAACAAGGAAAGTTTATGGGTGAAATGGATCCATGGGAATTATTTAAAACACTGGGATATATGGCATGTAAAGGCTAAAAAAGAGAATTCTTGGATGTGGAAGCAGCTGATCAAGTGTAGGGACAGAGCTGTGGCTATTACTGGAGGGATTGACAACTTGAAGCAGACTCTCAGTGCTTGCTATAAGGATTCTAAATTGCAGTTATCTGCAGTTTACTCTGTTTTCTCCCCTGGTTCACACATTGTTCCTTGGTACAACACAATATGGGGAAAGCTGAATTATCCGAAGCACACATTTGTACTGTGGCTTGCAGTGCAGAACAGACTACTCACACAGGATAGGTTGATGAGAAGAGGAACCATTAATTCAAATATATGCCTACTATGTGCAGGAACTGCCTCTGAAACAAGAAACCATTTGTTCTTTGATTGTCCATTTTCAAGAGAGGTGTGGTTAGCCATCATGGACTGGCTTAGAATGACTTGGCAATCTTGTGAATGGGAATTGCTCATGAATTGGTTTAACACCAGACAAAGAGGGAATGGATTCAAAACAAATGTTAGGAGGTTGGCTCTTGCGGCTACTGTGTACAGATTGTGGATAGAGAGGAATAATAGATTTTTTTCAGCAAGGAGTTACAGGTGCTGCTCATTTGGTTAAGAATATCAAAATTGATATCTTAACTATTTGCCTAAATAGTTCTATCTTAGATGAATATAGGGATTGGATAATATCCTTGTAAGTAGATAGCTTCCTGTTAGAAGCTCTGTTTTCTCAATTTGGAGACTGTGATGTACATAAATTCCATATATTTGGTAAATGAATAAAGCATTTTTTTCATTGACCAAAAAAAAATACCACTAATACCACTATTATTTTTTCTAAGCAATATATCCAATATATATTTCTACTCAAAGTAACGATGATAGGAGTAATATTCTTATTTATGATAGGAGTAAGATATACGAACCAGTAATACCACTATTATTGGTTTGAGGAAGTATTTCACCATCATAAGTAGTTGTGTCAAAATTGGTAATAGCTTCACTTCCATTAATTTTGATTGCTACCGTCATAAGCGCTGACCACCAATAGAAGAATTGTGATAGTTAGCAACCACGTTAAACTTGTTATTAAACTGTGATAGATAGCAACCACGTTAAACTTATTATTCATACTAAGAAACTTATTGCTAACATGTAGAAAATCAATGTTCGGTAAGACGTTGCAGCTTTAATTTTGTTATCAAAGGTTCTGTTGGATCTAATAAATATTTCTTGATTTTTTATGAAAATAACAAAGACAGGGATGACCAGATCCTGCTCAATGGTTTGTTATAATATATTGGACGATCGTTCATTCCAAGCGCTCGAAACCTACCTTTTTGGAGGTCTGATGGAGCAGTAATGATGGCTTTGCTTCATATGGGTCCAGTCGAGTTCCTCTACCGCTGGTTCCACAGAGCACTGCACCATCATTTCCTCTACTTTCGATATCACTCTCATCATCATGCCTCCATAGTCATCGAGCCTATAACATGTAAGCTTTTTTATTGGTTGTATGGCACTTATGGATACAATACTGTGTCCTACACATGCTCCAGGTAGAAAATATTGGTACTCAAATTGAATAATAAAAGTGCTTTATGTTTCCATTCTCTTCATGATCCTAACCACTGGGCCTGATATGCATGGATAAGTAATACACAAGTTCTTTAAGGCTTCTGTATTCCTCATATTACCTTAAAACAACAACGCATTCTCGCTTGTGCATTGGCTATTGCATTTTTTGATATTTCTATCAACGTAGACAACATCAAGAGCATATGATACAAACAGATTTAGAGTGTACCTCCTTTGAGTAGTTATCTATCCATCAGAATCGTATATTCATCTTTGTCAATGACCTTCTTCAGCCTACATATCTTCCACCTTAACGCTTTTCATCAAGTGAATATATTCATCTTTGTCAATGACCTTCTTCAGCCTACATATCTTCCACCTTAACGCTTTTCATCAAGTGATTTATCTCCTCAATCTTATACCATTCTACATATCTTCCACCTTAACGCTTTTCATCAAGTGATTTATCTCCTCAATCTTATACCATTCACATCTACGCCATAGTTACCCACTTACCCCATATTTTTAGATCAATGACATAAACTACATGGTCAAAAACATTGGTAAATATGGAACTTAGTGACAGGGACCTGACAGTTCATTAACTTGCTCAAGTTTAGCTAAGGGAAAAGCACAGGCCAAGTGGAAAGCTACAATGAACTGACAGTTCATTAACTTGCTCAAGTTTAGCTAAGGGAAAAGCACAGGCCAAGTGGAAAGCTACAATGAATAATAGACCAAAATGAGCCTTACAAACAAGGGAAAAGCACAGGCCAAGTGGAAAGCTACAATGAATAATAGACCAAAATGAGCCTTACAAACATTTATAAGCATTTTTGTACGAGTCTTTAATTTTTGAGGTGGTCGGCGTAAGTTAAATGGTTACTAATAAAGCTAAAGAAACTATGTTTATAAGCTAATAATGACTTCTACTTCAGATATGTTTGATCAGAATATATACATATGGTAAACAGAGTATGCACATTTGTGGTTTTTGTAAACTTAACCAGAATGCAAAACTCTACTCTATTTTTTATAATTGTGTGAGCTACCAATTGGTAATTAACTTCCAAAATAAACATTCCACTTTTTATTTTATATTAGTATAAACTTAAGTTCACAACACAATTTACATTACTACTTGTAGTCAGGACAATTTATATAAAGACCTAACTAAAAGCAACGTTGTTTGCATTGTACTATTTGGGAAGCATTATATTTGAATCAATGCAATAAAGGTTATTTTGGCTTTAACTTTTGTAGAATTAGTAATTAGAAACAGAAAAGAGAGATGATTTTCCCCTCCTGTTTACCTTTATTTATAAAAAAAATACTAATCCAAGTCCAAAGTATATAAGGAATCGGAATCCTAATTACATAATAAGGAATTAAATTGCTTTTGATTTTGTTTTCAGCTTTATTTGGTGTTTCATTTTGAGATAAGGCATTGTGAACATTCCTATGAGAGCTGTATGGAGGTCATGGCAATGCGAACGAAGCTTACAATGTGATCCAACATTCTACAAATAAACAATTGCATTGATATGAGTTTTTTGGTAGTATGAACATGACAATTTTCATAAGTGCTTTCATAACAATCTTCATATGACCTACTAAATTAAACAATTGCATTGATATGAGGTTTTTGGTAGTATGAACATGACACTGTTGTCATCACAAAGTAAATTAAACAATTGCATTGATATGAGGTTTTTGGTAGTATGAACATGACACTGTTGTCATCACAAAGAACTGAAAACAGAAAAAATATGATATGAGGTTTTTGGTAGTATGAACATGACACTGTTGTCATCACAAAGAACTGAAAACAGAAAAAATAGAGAATTAACCACAGAAAAAGACTGGGCTCAGAATGGAAAAGAGACCTGGTGTCCTCAAGTATTACCTACTTGCAACGATTCAACAAAGTACTTAAGAAGGCTAATACATTCATGCACTTTACAAAAAAATAATTTGCACTCAAATCTTGTTAACAAGCTCCTACTGTAAATAAGATAATGATGATATAAATTTCAAAATCAAAATCAAATTTAGAAAAGGATGAAATGTTACCTTCTTCGATGATTTTCCTTCTTGATCCGAACAAATGCCCAAAATCTGAGAACTGAGGAGATGATGGCAGAGGAGGTGCGGAGATGATAAGGGCAATAATACTCATCGTTGACAATTAATGATTTAAGAAAGTGGGAGGGGGTTGCTAGAGCGAAGTCGTAACCGACACAGAGGAGGATGAAAGGAACGAAGGATTAGGGCTCCCAATTTTCTGAACTCTGTTTAACAATAATAAAAAGGGATAAAGTTGTTATTTACAGTAGTTGAAGGGTATTTTGGGCTAGAAAAAGTTTTTTAAGAACTCCCTCTTTTAAAGGGTAGTACTAGTTGGATTGCACGTGCAATGCACGTGGTAAAGTTTTTTTTTTTAATTTATAATTTTTAATAATTTCTTTATAAAATTATGGAATTTAAGTAATGGATAAAACATATAGACATAATCGAAACATTCAACATTTGAACAATTAAATTACAATTATTTATTGAAAAGAGATGATTAGACATGTCAGATCCTTGGATATTCTCTCCGACCAACGACTCGTGCTACTTGTGCCAATGCCCGAAGCATACGCTACGCAGAAACATACGCTACGCAGATTAATACACAGGATGCTGTGGTAAAATCCAGAATCAACACCCTTCAACCCTGGAGCCCTCTGATGCCTGGAAATGACGAAAAAACGTACGGAACACAAGTGAGCAACATTTACATATAGGTAAATGCTTAATTATACATCATGAAGTTCAAATTAAATGCAAGGGAGAAGAGACACGAGAAAATTTAACAAGAAGGTTACAAACTCAATACGTATATTAGAAAATCTCACCACATGCAATTCTTTATCCTGCATTTCCTGTTTCTTTTCTCAGCTCATGTCTACCTGTAAACATATAAAATCATCTTTGTTAGACTACAACAGCTAACAGGAGAATAACTATTTCTGATGCAATTCCATTAGATTTTTTTAATGTTTCAAAATTCGCAATCCTTTAATTCGCGACCATCTTCACTACACTTGAGAACATGTGCCAACTTCCCCATGTTTTCTATTGTGAGTGCATCTAGCACAAATGATCTAGATAGGGTGGTGAATAATCCCTTGGATTTTAATGCCTGAATTTTAATTAAATAAGGGCCTCACACTTCCGTAAAAAGGGAGATAATTGGACATTTTCACCATCATTATTATTAGGGTTAATTGACCTTTAAAAGAATTTGGAAGGGGGGTGGTGGGGGGTGTACGCTCAGGAGTCTTACCGCACTTTGGCCAATAGCACAGGGAGTCTATCAACACCAATAGAGCTAAAGGGGATCTATCTGCAGTTAGGTGACATTACAGGAGGTTTATCCGCAACCAGCCCTTGTTATAAGCATGACCACTTCTAAATGTCAACCCTTACCAGCTTCGTACATAACTTACTCAATATATAGCAATAAATTAATGATTAATGCGAATTAATCAATAGTGTTAATTTTCCCCTTCCAAGATCATCAGGATCAGCATGCACAACAATAGCCCTTCCAAAGACCGAGTGCGATCCTTACAGCTTAATCTGCAAAGATAAAAATGTGTATCCTTCATATAAATATGAAAAGGTTAACAAACCTCATATAGAATCTGAAGAAGTTAGAAGGAATGCAAGCAAACAACAAAATAACATAGCTGACCTGCTTGTCAACAATATTAAACTCAACATTCCCTGAAACAGCGAAAGAACCAATAATCACTTTTATCAATTGAACTTTTTGTTCTTTGCAACATACAAGATAGACAACTTAATTTTCTCTCAGATCATGATAAGCATTTTACCAAGATCCAGTTCGCATCATGTTAGCTTAAAATAACCTTTCCTGCAAAGCAAATCAATGAGATCAAACATAACATTAGGTAAAAGAGGGGAAAGAAAACAGAAGTTAATTTTTTTCCTCCATACAGAAAAATTTGAATGAAGTACCTTGATAGCAGCAACATCAGCTGCTGGAGGCTTCAGGTCCAATGAAATACCTAAGTAGAACATGTCCTTAGCATGAATACTAAGGCTCTTGTGAATCTTCCCTTCAACGTGTAGATGCTGCTCTTACATGGGGTGAATTCCTTAACCTGCTCCAAATGCTTCAATGTCCTATATAAATATCATAAGACAAAGGTCCAATATAACAAATAACCAATATATGTTTGGATTTTTTTTTTGCTAATTAACTAAAGTAATAAATGTTTAGTTAAATTACTTATAAACATTTGCACTTTCAATATTAAGTTTTGTACTGGTAAATCATGTTCCGGAATGCATTAAAAATAGTAACAACAAAATAAATGAATACATTTATGACAATCAAATTCCAATTTTACTAATTTGGTACACAGTGATCAATTTTATTGAAAAAATAATATTTAATGGTTAGATGTACTCATAGTTTGTCCAAATATTATCTAAATTATCAAACAAATATTTGCACTGGATATCAATCGGAAACTGTCCATGTGTAAGTCCTATATATTTTAATCTACAAGCTCCATAGTAGCCTCAAGTATTTTTGAGTGGTACTGGATCCCATCAAAATGTTAAAATGCAATTTGCTAAGAGTATTCACATTGGAAAAACAATTGTGTCTTGTCACAGCATACATGAATGTTATTCAGATTGTGCAGTTTTCTGATCTTATAGCAAAACGAGATTGTAGTTCCTAACTTGAGGTTGACATAACACACCTGAAGGTTCTGATGATAAATTGCAAAAGTTGCATAATATGATAACAGTTGTAGCAAATCTTCAATTATACTACTCACATCTAGTTCTGGTGCAGCAACTATAAATCTGCAAGATGAAAAGCAAAAAAAATGCAACATTGTAACAATCAGTCAATAAAATCTTGTTTAAAGATACTTTATCCCAATTTTCTACCTAGTAAAGCCTTTATCTTTCCATGATTTTATGTCTTCTGATGATGCCTGCCTTACTGCAGGTATTTTTTTTTGCACTAAGGTAGAAGTGCTCTGATGTGTGTCATCAACTCCATCAGAAGAACATGTCAATGAGGATGCATTACAGATAAATAATTCATCATATTTAAGAAATTGCAATTGCATGTGTAAAAATATACAATATACCTCTGCATGTATGAGTAAGAAAAAAATAGTTTATTGAGAAAACTCACAAATATGGAATTAATCATAATCTTTGATGTAAATGTTGCCGGGAAATGACATCCTTGAAGCCAATCGTCTTCATATTCAAGCTCAAGCCATCTAACAAATCATAAACAAACCCACAATCATCATTAGCATCACCTCCAGAGACAAACCTATTTATCAATTTACAAACTTCAACACAGCTCTCTCTTGCAAGATAATACAGAAAATGGTGCTTGAATAATCCTGCATCAATAAGCATCAGTACTTCAATAAGTAGACTGCTGAAAATACATATTGTCGTTTCTGTATAATTTTCCTCTTCGATTGTTATGCGGTTAGAGCATGTAAAATACATATTGAAAGAATGAATTTTAATTTTTTGGCATATATAAGCGTAATACACAATTTGTTAAACATAGTTATTTGTCATTCTCAGAGAAAACAAGAACAGGGTCTGGCTAACTCACTGTTAACAGAAAACTGGCAGATATGTACACGAGAAACTCTGGTAATGCATCCCCTTCAGCAAGGTATGTATCCCACAAACGCGTAACAAGATGAAATGGGATCTGCAGAGATAACGAAGTAAAACTTAGTTACTGTCACTGTAATTACAGGATTTTAATAATGAAATTTACTAAAAAAACCAACCTCACGTATCAAGAGACAATTGAACAAACGAAAAGCAAACTGAAGACACCAATAGCAGTCGGCTTCTATGTTAGATATATTTTCTGGAGAAAGAGACAACATCGACCATTTATCCATGCCGCCTTCAAGATGCTTGGATAAAAATACCATCAAGCAATTTTGTATTGATCTTGCATACCATCAAGTAATTTTGAAAGACACCAATAGCAGTTGGCTTCTATGTTAGATATATTTTCTGGAGAAAGAGACAACATCGACCAGTTATCCATGCCGCCTTCAAGATGCTTGGATAAAAATACCATGAGAAATGGTGTGACAAGATCATTAATTCCTTGAACATATCCGCTTGCCGGATGCTAAATAGCCCTGAAAACAAATTCCTGAGACATCATTCATCAAGAAAAAGTACGAATTTCGACCTATACTACAGTGACAGCTTACATTAGATTGTTTAAACAAGAGAGCACGCGTTGAATGGACTACAGAATGCACCTTGCAACATCTACTAATGTAATAATAAATCCACATAAATACCAAGCAAAACAAGATACAACATAACTTACATGTTCTCACATAAAAATGAGATATGACTGATGTATGATATTCATTTTCTGTTAGAAAGATTTTTTCCTATCCGTGAATCTTTTGTCTAATATGATATCATAGTGATATGATACTGTGATTCCTAATACTTGAAAATTCCAGTTTTCTTAGAAATGAATTACACCATTACTTATGGAGCGTTTGGCAACCGTAGGGTTTTTACGATAAAGAATTGCATGTGGTGAGATTTTCTAATATACGTATTGAGTTTGTAACCTTCTTGTTAAATTTTCTCAATATAGTTTCTTCTAATTTTTACCACAAATAATTAACATCTGTGGGCTCACAATGAACCAATATAGTTGCAAACAAACGTCGAAGTGCTGTTGGCATTTGGAAGACGATGGCTTCATCTAAGCATTCTCTTATGCTATCATCAGATTCCAAAAGACCTAATTTCTGGGCTGATTCCTTGAAAGATTTGCAATGAATACCATTTACCGTAAGCAGATCCTCAAATGATGTCGGACACCTAACGTGAGTAAGCAATAGTCGCAAGTAATATCTCTCTCTAAGCAGATCCTCAAATGATGTCGGACACCTAACGTGAGTAAGCAATAGTCGCAAGTAATATCTCTCTCATTCAATTGGATTAGCCCCGTTTATTCGACCTATCACTTGTCTCTGTTTTCTTGGACTCCAAGATTTTGATCGACCTATCACTTGTCTCTGTTTTCTTGGACTCCAAGATTTTGATGTTGAATCCCAAACATAACATTCAGGAAATTCCAAGATTTTGATGTTGAATCCCAAACATAACATTCAGGAAATTCCACATATAATAACTCCTTTTCATGGTCATTTTCATATTTCTTCTTGTTACCTTCTTTAATTTTTTTACACATAGTAAAAAATTCTGTAAGCATCGTCTTGGAGACATGTTCCAAGTGAATCAATTTCGATAGGTCTTGATGTTTCCAATAAGAAACATATTGTTGATTTGGCATGTGGAGTTGTAAGTTAATGACAGCCGGGAATATCTCATTAAGATGAAATTCATATATTCTCCAGAAAGCTTCCTGAGTTGATACCCATCTTGCATCTTGAAAATTTTTGATTTCATTCACAACTTTTTCACCTTCATTATACTCAATGTTTACTGCGACTCTATCATGGTCTTTATATATGTACTTATAAAGGTATTTCACTGCTTTTATGCCTGAGCATATTTCAACATTGATGTGACAGTTATAACGTATCAGAAAATAGGGATTGTAAGGTACCACCCATTGATTATTAAGAATTTTGTTTCGAACCAACATTGTTCTATTATTTTTGCTCCTTTTATAAATTGGGTAAGCATCTTTCGCTTGTACTGATCTTGGAGAAAACTCTCTAGGGTAGTGATACTTACACTCGCCATTTTGCATGCAAACATTCTTCATATTTAACTCTCCACAAGGACCGTGCATCATATGTTTTTTTACCAGTTCATATAGGATTGGATTTTCATACTGGTCTGGAATTTCTGCTGATACGTACTTATCATAATGATCTGATGATACTATTTTGTGCTTTCCCATTAGAATAATTAACATGTGTGCATGAGGCAACCCTCTTTTTTGAAACTCGATGACATGAACATGGGCAGCAACTTTTCCAAAGATTTTCTTTTTAAATAGCTGATCTTTCAGGTCTTGCAATTTTGCTCTAAATATCCTTGAGGTTAGATCCGGTCTATCATTATGTGTTTGTCCTGGATGTAGCTCCTCCTTGATTTCTTCCCATTCAGGATTGCATGTCATTGTGATGAAAATATCTGGTTTTCCAAATCGTTGTACTAATGACATTGCATCAAGATATCTACGACGCATATCTCTAGGACCACCAATAAATGATGATGGCAACACTATTCTTTTTTTGACTTGACATGCTTTTGCTTCACCAACAGCTACACTATCGACTATGCCTTGAAATAACTCTGCTCTGATTTCTGATTGTTTCTTTCTGAAATAATCAAGTCTTGTTGTTTCAAGCTTTATGTACATATCAACAGCATATTGATGGAACAACCGGCCTGCCGATGTTAATACAGTAGATTGTCTAGTGTCTCTTATCTGGAACTTGTAACAATAATGTTCTCGACATGATACGCTTCCCGCCTTTGGTGCTTTAACACCTACAAGTTTGCAGTTTAAGTTAATTTTAAATGTTTTAATATTATTAAATAATTTTAATTAAGATTTACCTTCCCTTTCTCGTTTAAATATGTCTTCTGCAGATGTAAAAGTTTGCTGAGTCAATTGAGATGTTGTATTTAGTTGTTTTGAACGACGAATATCATTTTTCAGCCTTCTTTTAATATTTTGGTGCTATCCAACATCTCCGCCTGGAAAGAGTAAAGGATACTATAAAGGATCATAACAACCAAAATAGTGCTTAACTTGATGATTCTTTCCAGAGTGTGAATGGACAACTATTTCTCTCTCATACGGAACATTTTCATTATTTCCCTCTATCCAGACAGCTGCAACCTGATCCACTATTGGCGAGTTATAAACACGTTGATCTACTGCAGCATCTCTATTTATAATGATCTTGAAGTCTTCAAGAGGTTGATCTACTGCAGCATCTCTATTTATAATGATCTTGAAGTCTTCAAGAGATGGAAAATCATTCAGTTTTCGCAGAAATTTTGCATATGGGTTTCCTTCTAATATATCCATCAATCTTCTTGTTGTAGTCGTACTCATGTTTGCATTATCTAATATTCCCATTCGATTTTGCAACTCATTCTCCGTATCGGAGAAGTAAAGTTGAAAGTAGGAAGGCTTTTTTTCTTCTGGAATTAGAGGGGAGATTATGATATATTTGTCCTTGTGCTCTAAATGTGAAAATACCCTTTTTGTTTGATGCAAGCTCTCTATCAAACCTTGCCCCAAATGATGTGAATGAGAAAATACTATTATACTTTCTGGTTTGTCTTCGAAACTCAATTGCCTCTTGGTTTTGTACTGTATAAAGGGCATATAACTCGTCATTGACATTCACATCTGCTAAGTGGATTTCACCATTGTGGCAACAGGATGTTGGTGGCTCATATTCAAATTTTTTTGCTCCACAAAATGAACAAGACTTTGGAGTGCGTAGTTTATGTAATAAAGAACATACTGGCTCATGGTTAATTTGACCTAGAAAAAATTAATAGATTTTAGTGTTAAATAAATTTAGATATATAAAATCATGTAATTATTTTAATAAATTATAAAATTAATCTATGCAAACCTCCATGCTCATATTCTCGCTGTTGCGCTCCACAAAACAAATCAATCTTACGTTTTCCCTTGCTATTGGTACTACTGTCAGCAATATCATTCCTTTTCCTCTTTTTACTATTATCAATGACCTTCTGAATGTAAGTTGTCTTCTGATCAACATTCAACTGATTATATTTGGTGTTTCTACTCTCATGTATTAGAATGTGTTCTTCTGTTAAAAATATTGAAATACACTATTAATAAACATAAATACACATAAAGCAATAATAATATATATTTTTGTTGAATTCAAACCTTGGTTTGAAGTCATTTGGAAGAAGATACTCTTATGCAAATGCACAGTGATTATGCAATCCAAGAAGTAGAATGTAAATTTCTACAAGGAAAAGAAAATTTAATGAGTTAATTTATTGATTTTATTTAACATAAGTATAGCAGTGAATATAATTTGAGAGAATAAGTATTTATATGATGTTCAATAGTATTTAAGGGTTTTTTTTTTGAGAAATTTGGTACACTATATCTCATATGCTAAAGAGAAAAGGAAGAAAGTTGCTTCACTCACCTGAATCACCGACAAATTTAGAAATGTTTAAAAAAAAAAAGAAAATCCAACCAAGTAGAATATCTGCATTAATATTAAAAAATGTTAAATTATTTAATCTAGACGTAAAAGTGTATTACAAAAGTGCACATCATTTCACACAATGATTATTTAATCTAGACGTAAAAGTGTATTACAAAAGTGCACATCATTTCACACAATGTTTTAAAAAGATGATACTAAACATAAAAGTGCACATCATTTCACACAATGTTTTAAAAAGATGATACTAAACATAGGAGGCTTATTAGTAATTCATCAAAATACTATTTATGAGGAATTTATTTCTTGTGCACGCTATTTGTTCATGTACAAAATTTCTAGAAAAAAAAAATAACACATTTCCATTTGAAAATTTAAAAAATGAAAGAATTTATAGAAAAAACAGCTAGGAATTATATAAAAGGCCAAGAAAGTGATGATTATCCTTGGAAAATAAATCATACTATAATTAGAGAATCAGTCTATATAATTCATTTTTGAGGCTTAAAAATGATGAAATGTTAGAGAGATGGACTTATAAGTGGGTTGTTGAAGATGATGGTGGTTAATAGGATTAGTTAAGCAGTACGTAGGACATACCTTATAATGACCCGTATCTATTTGTACATTATATGGATATTTCATGGAAATATTTGAATTCAAGACTTACAAACTTATGGCGAAAGTATTGAACATGCTATCATTACAAAATTATGGTGAAAATGGACCATAACATGGGGGTAGCCCTATGTATTTTCATTAACTAACAAACAGTATAATCCTCTATACAAACTCTGCTAGCAGAGGATCCATCGCAGATAGCAGTAAGATACGTGGATTTAAAAGGACTTAATTTTGAGATTCACAGAATTATGTAGAATTCAGCATGCAAAACTAACTTCCATATGGTCAAAAAATATATCGCAAGGACAGTTAACATTCAAACAACTAAGATATCTAAAGTGTTGAAATGTAATCTTAACGTATTCAACATATAACAATACCACGCAAACTCAAAAGTGATTTACAAATCTCTTGTGCGCCTCACCTAATGATAGCAATCAAATTAACGAAATAACAAGTCGAAGGTAGCTATTAAAAAATTTCATGATTACATCAAACTTCAAATGAACTCATATTAATTTTCGTAAAGCTTTACCCAAAGTTGCAGAATCAATATAGAATTTTTTGGTTTCATTGAGACGTAGATTTTATTTTATTTTCACTAAAATGCTTTTGTTGTTCAAGTTTCCAGGTGAAATTTTGCATCTTGTCTTATAAGAATCCATCAGAATTTATAATTTGTTTTGTAGAGCATTAGGAGAACTCTGTACAAAAACTAAACGTGGGAAAGAAGTAACAGAAGAGACAATATGAGCACGCCAAGACTAAGAAGAGGTCCAATGTCCCTAAAGGGGGGAACATCTATTTTTGGAGATAATCCTGTATACATAATCGATTTGATCCCATTTATTTCTTTAGAAAATGGAGTATATTTGTTGTTGATCCTTACAATAATGAATGTAAAGTCTGACCAATGGATTACTGTGGGATTTATTTCTTAAAGCTAAATTAAGAGGTGCACATATACAGTATTTAAAGGAATTGTGACCAACAAGTCAGCATCTATTTGAGAGGTGGTTTGATTCACTTGTTAATTAATAGGCCGTGTGCAATAGACAATTAAGCCATAGTGGTCAATATCAATGTGCAGGAACAGGACAAATTCAAGAGATATCAATTTTTTAAGCAATAAAAGGATTTTTTTATTTTTATTACTTGATATCTGGTATTACACAAATAGCTTGGAGTGGTCTAGGTTTACATTAGGTGTCAAAGTTTTCCCTGTAAAGTTGCTCTGCAAGAAACTTTTTCAAGCTTACTCTTAAGGGTTGCTTATTATGAACATCCCATGGTATGATAACAAAAATTGAAAGATGAGTTAATTTACTTGTTTGTTCTAAAGGTAGTAAAAGCTTCTTGCCCTCCATCTATGAAGCTTTATGCTTCCTTTCCTTGTTACACTTTTCAGTCAGTAACATTTTCAGTGGACCTTTACTCATTCCTGTTTCATATGTTACTCATGTATATTTGATCTGATGTTTTACATGGTTTGAATGCCACTCTTGTCATGCTATCAAGTACTTAATGATTCTGGTAATTCTAAAGAAAGGACTCATGGGTTAAAAATGTTGTTGTAGCCTTTGTTTTTTTGGTGTCTTATGCCACTGGCAGTTAACGTTCTTTTATGCTGCTATTTATCATTTAAATTTCTATATTGTTTTAATGGAGAACTGGAGCCTGCATGATTATGTATGTCCTTATTGCATGTTTGTTGTCGTTTATATGTAACATGGTTCAGAATAGAACTCTTGGAAAAAATTGATTTTAGTTACCATTTCTGTAGTATCTTTTCCTATGAAATTCACTGATCAATGTGTTTTTTAGATTTCTTTTATATGTTTTCTTATATTTTGGTATAAGTGTTTGAGATATTTGGATGGACTTGATTCCTAACATACATGCATGCTTCTGCAGATTATTCATTCTGATATGTTTCCTAACATACATGAAATATATAATCTGTGTTTGCATGAGGTGGAGGCCCTCATGTACGTGTCATACACGGTTACACCAACATGTAAAAACATACTTGTAAGAACGTGCCTTGTCGAGACTCGAGAGTTCTATTTAATAAATTTAAAAAATACATTATATAGTTTGTAGTTTGTAGTGTCCCAACAAGTTCTCTTAGATTTTGTAAAAAACAAACTGACAAGAACAGAAACTACACTTAATATTATCATGGTGGGCTAATGGCCCACAGATCTGATAATAAACTGACAAGAACAGAAACTACACTTAATATTAGTTTATGTATGATCTCATAATGTGTAAAGTGTGACACATAATTGTAAAATTTGTTGAGATCTTTGAGAATTTTGGAATGGTAACTTCATGAATGATGTCATTGGGAAATAAATGGTATTAGCATATATGCCATTATGTTTATAATAAATAGCATATTTCATCTTGCTTTTTGCTTATTTCTATATACAATCTTATGTTCTTGAGTTATATTTCAAGTTTGCAACTATACCTTGGTTTAATGTGTTAAATAATTAGTGAAATTTTAAGTAACATTAAATCCTAATGGACTTCACATGATTTTCATCACTTTGTACTACTTTGTGGGATAAAATATGCTTTAAAGACAATCAATTTCAATCATTTAGGAACATACTTAATAAATTTCTGGTTTAAGGATGATCATAATTTTTGGACCATTATATAGTTTGTCGAGAGTTCTATTTAATAAATTTAAAACATACTTGTAAGAACATGAAAATTTTGTAGTTTGTAGTGTCCCAACAAGTTCTCATAGTTTTTTTCTTAAACAAACTAATCTAGGAACTAAATTGCTAACCAACACCTTTGATGCTTCCTTATCAGGTCTCTGATAAGAAATTCATGTAATTGTTATTATTTCTGAATATGTGGTTTAGATTTTTGTTGGGTACATCTTAAATTGTTTCTCCTATCACTATCAAACGGTAAGGAACTCTTTTTGTTGTTGAATGTAGAATGAATGAAAATGAAAGTTTTACATTGTTAGTATGTAGTTAAAATATCAATAGGGTTGAATAAATATTTTTGGACCATTTCTTGCATATACATTCAATGCTTGTAAATTTCTTGATGAAATTTATTTCATACTCGTGATTTTATAAGTAAGATATGCTCTCCATGATCTATTTTAAAAACAGTTTGGTATATTCAGGTAAGGGCAAGTAATTAATTTTGTTTAAAGATATTATAATTAAGTGTAAGCTTTTCTTTGAATCTTATTTCTTGAAACTGCTTACCAGCTCTAATGTACAGGATTTGGTTCACATAAACATCTTTAGGAAGCAATAAGAGAAGTTACTGCTAGCAAAATTACCCAGCTGAAAAAATATCAAGGATGGTTATCTCTATGGTTCATTTCTGGTTTAAGGATTCCAGTTTCGAAGTACTGACCCCTATCACTAATCAGGTAATCTTTCCTCTTTTCCTCTAAAAAAGGATTTCTTGGTATGTTGTGATTCTTCATTTTGTCATTTATCCATTATATAGTTGCTAATATTTAAATCAAGTGATTATGTCGTGATACATTAATTTTATGCTAGCATAATTA